GTGTGTGTGTGTGTGTGTTTGTGTGTGTGTGTGTGTGTGTGTGTGTGTGTGTGTGTGTGTGTGTGATATGTTACTGCAGATGGATCCACAGATAAGCGTCTGATCTGAGACTCACATGCAGCATGAGACCGAAGTATTCGTCTGTATCTGGCCTTATAGTTTTCAGTCGGCTGAGTAGCGGGTCCTTGAAGCCCCAGAGCAGCTCCTGCACTGTGTGTGTCATGAACATAGTGGTGCCGATGGAGCCCATGTACATGGAGATTCCCGAGGAGACCCAGAATCCTGCACCTTTGATTCGATTCATCACGGCCTGTTTGAGGAAACCAGAACCTGAGACTCAGATCAACTGGAAAATAAAACACACACACACACACACACACACACACACTCACCACCGCTGGGATGTTCACCGTCGTCACCAGATCCACGTTCGGGTCTCCAACTGATTTCTCAGGCTCAAAGACGAAAATCTTGGCTGTGTAAGCAGCAACCTTCGTCCCGTTGTGCACAAATGACACGTTGTGTTTGGGCCTGTACTCTCTGGAACGGGTTAGATTTACAGAAGAAGACCAAAACTCAGTTTAGTTGAGTGGAAATAACACAATTATATTGACTTTTATTGGCATTGTGCGAGCCTGACTGCGGAGCCAAATAAATGAGCATGAAACCAATAAAACAGCATAGAAATAAAAATTATGGAAATGAGGCACTATGGCCAGATAATGCAAATGATGATTATAAGATATATTATAAGAAATTATCTATAAGTGCATATATTATATTATATTATATTATATTTAAACATTTTAAAATAATAAAATATGCATCAAGTGTAAAAATGTATATATATATTTTTTTATATATTTTATAATTATAATATAAACCAACCATAATGTTCTATAAGTTTATATAATATATGTTATATATAAATCAATATTATATACTATATATATATATACGATTTAAACATAGTTAAAAGATATGTACATATATTTTATATTACAAATATAAAAATAATACATGAACACATTTTATGAATATATATAGTACAATAGTATTAGAATTGTAATTTAAACCAACCAAAAGGCAATTTAGTTGAGTGGAAATAATACTATTATACCGCATTAGATTGACTTTTATTAGCATTGTGTGAGTTTGAGTACAGAGCAAATGAAACACATTGATCATTTCAATGAAAATGATGGTGGTGCAAAGTGAAAAATTATGCACAAATGGCTGTATAATGCAAATGTAATTGTAGGGCAGAAAAAATGGTGTACAAGTACATGATGTGCATAATACTTGATATTTGCATGAAAATGATTTATGTTCCACTCTCTACGGTTAAACATCAGATGTTTCAAGAGCGTATTGATTCCTGTTGAAGTGTTTTCTATTTGCTCTGAATTACCCTCAAGTTCAGTGCAAACTAACCATGCAGAGGAATACAGGTTAGAGAGTGTTAACGGCACAGACATTGATATCTGTTTAGGGTGTGACATGAATGATCCTGCAGACCTGAGGAGAGCATGACTGTAAACACGCTGATAAAACATAACAGCATCAAAACACCTTCAGCTTCAGCTGCAACTGTATTTCATAATACACACATAATTCTTTAGTAAAGACGATAAGTGTCTGCAAATTAGCAGAGCTAACTGAAGTAAACCTGGGTGTCAGTTACCAGCAAATGTTACATTTATCTTTTTCAATAGGAACTGTTTATTTTATATTTTAAGATAAATGAAAAAAAAAGAATAAATATATTAAGAGTAATATATTAAAATTAGAATGATATATACACACACACACACACACAAATATAAATACAATTTAAATATAAATATAATTCAATAATATAGTAAATTAAAATATAATTGCAATTTTTTTGGAATTATACATTTATAAAATTTATCATTTACTTTTTTTGTATAAACACATTAAACACAAATATATGTGTGTAAGCATATTATGTTATGTATGTTTTATGTTTGTTACATTTATTACAATTTATTGTACTTTGCTAAGTTATGCTAGTGTATGCTTTGTTTTGTTACATTATTTTTATATAACAAAACATAACATAGCAAACCATAACGTTATGTTGTTTTGTTTTGTTATTAGGTTTTTTGTTATATTATGTTTAACATAACAAACAAAAAACATAAGAACAAAACATAACATGTTGTTTTGTTATGTTTTATAACAAAACCTAATAGGCAAGACAGTATGTTACTTTATCTTTTGTTATGTTATGTTTTGTTTAATTTTTTATATTTTATGTTACAAGATGAAAACAACATAACAACAAAAGATGAAAACAAAACGTATGTTTTGTTTTATTACGTTTTTATGTTGTTTTGCTAAGTTATGCTATGTTATATTTGACAAATATAAATAATTTGTAAGTGGGTTCTGATATATATTATAATATTACATATATGTTTAGATGCATGATGGGATTGATTAAACAGTTACATAATGCAGATAGAGTCATGTTTTACAACATAACTACTGGTAACACAAAGAGCTTTTGTTAGTTTTACTCTCTTAAATTAGAGATCAATAAAAGGCTGGAATAGGAGTGAGACGAGGAGCTGTGAGCGGCTGGCTGGTCTGAATATCCCTTCGCCAGCAGATGACTCAGTAAAGCGGTCTGTTGTGAAAGGATCACGCAGGAATAAGCATCTTAAGACTGAACGCAGCGTCTCGGATTTGTGCTGAGATTCGCACCGGACTCAAATCTCTGAGCATCAGCACTGTGTCACTCTCGCCTGCAGCAGAAGCCAAGCACAGTCTCGTGCCTCTGATCTCCTTCTGCTTCTGTCACATGGACCAAAGCAAACCTGCATGGACACAACACCTGAAGACCGAGGCCTGCAACATACGCCTGCAAGAACACGAACCAAGAGGGTCTGGCTGCAGACTTGCACTTGCACTCTCAGACACATGCGCTTCCGCTAGCGACGTCACTTGCAGTCTTTTTTTTTGTTGTTGTTATATTTATTTATTATTTTTTGTTTGAATCTCTCAACATTTTACAACAGTAGCCAGGCGGTGAAGAGAAGAACAAATAAACTAAATTACAAAGTCACTTGCAATCGCCACTTGCACTCTCCGCTGTACATGCGACGTCACTTGCAGTCGACACAAATCGTGCGTGTTGCCAAAGGAGACAAGACGCTCTGGTGGTGCTAAATCTAGTACCATAACATACAGGGTCCTGCAAGTCATCTGTAGAAGAAAAAGACAAGACCTGCAAATCCATGGCCAAAGAACAGCAGAATATGAACGCAATGCGTCTCTCGTTAAGCGCTTTCCACCCATAGAAAAACACTTAATATGGCTTAATGTATTAAGATGCTGTTAAAATATCAAATGCAATATACAGTTTATTAATATAATGAATATGTATAGCCTAGTATTTTCCTCCCATACCGCAAAACGTGGCATAATGTAGCATAAAGGAATAAGATGATAAAGACCAAACTCAATATGCTCCTCTTCATTATTAAAATATACATAACTAATATGTACAGGCAAGCAGGTGAGCCCAGAATAAATTCAACACGCAAAGTTTCACGTTAAGCGTTTTCCCATATAGAATAAACTGTCTACAGCTCTTTTATATCATTCTCTTTGTCCATTAAGCTACATTAGCCTACGTGTTTTATTTATAATGATTTTCTATGGGAGGAAAATGTATAACGTTAACGCATTGCGTTCTGGGCTCGTCTGCTTGCCTGTACGGAGTAGATCCTTTTAAAATCACTTAATGCATTTCATAATGCACGTTCATATTTGATGGTCTGTATATACTTTGAGTCAACAACAAGACATA